AACCCAAACCCTAAACCCCCTGCCTGCTCCGCAAAGTGGTCAAGGCTCGAACAGCCCGCAGAGCCAAGCGAGGACATAAGCGAGGAATCCTCTCAGGAAACATGATGCGGTTTACGGTTTAGGTTTGGCGTTTAGGGTTTAGGGTCTAAGTTTAGGGTTGAGTTAGCACTGTCGGAAAGCCGCACCTCACAATTCCAACAGAAGGAGTATTGTTAGCAATGACAATCATATTGTGATACTAGTTGTATTGGCACTCCTTCTAACACGAGTAGTACTAGTCGTTTTTTGGACCCTAAACCCCTAAACCCCTAAACCCTACACACTAAACTCTAAACCCTAAACCCTAAACCCCAAACCCTAAACTGAAAAAACCCTAAACCCCTAAACTCTAAACCCTAAATCCTAAGCCCCTAAACCCCTAAACCCTTAACCCCTAAACCCCTAAACCCCTAAACCCCTAAACTCTCTAAACCCCAAGGGACCTGAGCTGCCAATGCGCAGGTTCAGAGCTTAGGAGCTTTGTCTTTAGGAGTTCGGGGTGTAGTTGGTAGGGTTTTTGGGGGCCATTCTACTATACTTGTAATCAGGAACTCCCAAAATAATGTAGGTAATTATTAAGACCCCTATATTAGTGCCTAGGAGTTTGGGGTTTAGGTGTCAGGGCTTTGGGCTGAGAAGTTCAGGGCTTGCAGTGGGGGGTTTACGGTTTAGGAGTCTAGGGTTTAGGTTTTAGGGTTTGAGGTTTTAAGGGTTTTGGGGGTTTAGGGTTTAGGAGTCTAGGGTTTAGGTTTTAGGGTTTGAGATTTTAAGGGCTTTGGGGTTTAGGGTTTAAGAGTCTAGGGTTTAGGTTTTAGGGTTTGGAGTTTTAAGGGTTTTGGGGGTTTAGGGTTTAGGAGTCTAGGGTTTAGGTTTGAGGGTTTAAGATTTTAAGGGTTTTGGGGTTTAGGGTTTAAGAGTCTAGGGTTTAGGTTTTAGGGTTTAAGATTTTAAGGGTTTTGGGGTCTAGGGTTTAGGAGTCTAGGGTTTAGGTTTTAGGGTTTAAGATTTTAAGGGTTTTGGGGTTTAGGGTCTAGGAGTCTAGGGTTTAGGTTTCAGGGTTTAAGAGTTTAGGGCACTTGGATCACGCCGGCGCCCTCACAGCCTTGTCACCTTTCGAGAATCGTTAAACTTCCTGTATCAAGGCTAACGAAATTGCGGGATCTAGGTTCTCGGATTCTGGGCTTTAGAGTTTAGGGTTTAGGGTTTAAGGTTTAAGGCTGATAGGGCTGTAAGGTTAGGGTTTAGGGTTCCGCACTTGCAGGGCTTGGGGAACCCTCCTCATAGCTCCGCTTCTACCTCCGGACCTAGGACCCCGTGGAAAACTCCAGAAAACTCGTATCGGTTTAGGGGTTGAGGTCCTGAGGTTGTCAAGCTGGGTTCTTGTTTAACTTTACGTTGCTATTGCAAGGAAACCATATGATTTACTATAGATCCCTATTCTGGTACATTCAACTAAACTCCTTAACAAGAACCCAAACCCTAAACCCTAAACCCCAGTGAGCCTGAAATGAACCCCTTGGAGTCGCGGAACCACGTGGTCCTTGGCGCTAATCTTGGCCCTCAGGCCCTCGGCGGCAGCTTTCACACTCTGCACCATACCTCGGAGCCAGAAAGCGCCGTAATACTAAGAATTAGAATAAGGGTTCCTTTTAAGCGATCCCTCCAGCCCTCCTCAGCCTTTTTCCCACTGGCGAACAGCCTGGGGTTTGCTCGAAAACCTGAGGTTTTTAGGGCCCTACCCCCCGAAACCCTAAACCCTAAGCTCCGAAACCCTAAACCCTAACCGAAATAAAAGTGCGGGTCCTAAACCCCAAACCCTAAACCCCAAAAACCCAAAAGAACATCCCAGATCCCTTATAGAACCCTTATAGGACCCTTATAGAATCCGGAAAAGGAACCCGACCCCTTAACCCCAAAGCCCCCAGAAGAAAGTCCCGCCGAGGAGCTCGATTCATCGGGCCGCCCCTCCATGAGGAAAGCTTCTGGGCTGCCTGGAGCATCACGGGTTTAGGGTTCAGGGATAAGGTTAGGGTTTTGCGTTTATGGCTTGGGTGCTTTAGGGGCTCGAGCTTAGGGCTTCGATGTGATGTGTTCGTATTTTCTGGGCTGTTAGATTCCGCCATCCTCAACCCTCCACCCCAAGACCCAAGCCAGGAAGCCCACACTAAACCTAAACCCTAAACCCTAAACCCTAAACCCAGAACCCTAAACCCTAAACCCCTAAACCCCTAAACCCTAAACCCTAAGCAAACCCTAAGCAAACCCTAAGCCCAAGCCCCTTACTTCGGGCCCCACCTAGCTGCTGCACCGGGGTGAAAGCATGGACATCCAGGGCGGCACCTCGGCGGCCAATAGAGGGGCCTTAACAATTAGAATAAGGTTTGGGGGGTATATTATACTGTAATTTTATGGAACCCCCAAACCCTAAGACCCCTACAAGGGAATGCTTCTTCAGTGCTTCTCGGGCTTGGATTCAGGGGTTTGTTTAGGGTCTTATACAAGCAGGGAGATCAGGCGACGGTTTAGGTGTTTACAGTCGGGGTTTAGTGCTTCCCTAAACCCTAAACCCTAAACCCTAAACCCTAAACCCTAAACCTTTAGATTTTCGGTGAGGGTTTTGGGCTTTGGTTTCAGCGTTGAGGGCTGTGGGCTTGGGGTGGAGGTTTAGGGGACTTTCGGGGGTCAGTGCTTAATGTATGGGCCTTAATAATTAAAATGAGGTTTAGGGTTTAGGGTTTAGGGTTTAGGGTTTAGGGTTTAGGGTTTAGGGTTGGTTTTGGGGGTTCCTTCTTCTATTTATGGTATAATTGGTATAATATACACCAAACCCCACTCTAAGTCTTAAGGCCCCTCTTTTACGGCTCAGGGTTGAACTCTGCGCATTGGGCGGTAACTCGAAGCGCTGTGAGACAGGGGCGGGGCGGTGAAGAAGAACTCCAGGAGCTCATCTAATATAGGGGCGGTTTAGGGTTTAGGGTTTAGGGTTCTGAAAAATTACCAAGATTATTTCGGGGGTTCCTTATTATAATGATAGTACTTGGCGGTTCATGGGTAGTTATAAGTGGGGTTATAAGTAGGGTAGCTGTACTTATAACCCATATTAGTGGACTTATAACCCCATTTATAACTACCCATGAACCTCCAAGTATATTATACCCCCAAATCCCCTTTCTAATTGTCAAGTCCAGGACATCTTCAGGTGGGTAGTTACCGTTATAGGAGCTGTATAGAAGGTCTATATACCTTATGGAAGCCTTATATATATATATAATCTTTATATATATATATATATATACCCTAAACTCCCCACCTGCAGTTTCCTTTATAATATTCTACAGGCTCTTGTCTGAAACTTCGAGGCTCGAAACACGAAGTTTGGGCACCCGAAAGCCAGGTTGTTCCACCAAGAGCCCTGAACGAAAACCCTGAAACCCTAAAGCCTAAACCCTGAAACCCTAAACCCTAAACCCTAAACCCTGAAACCCTTAACCCTAAACCCTAAACCCTTAAACCCTGAAACCCTCAAACCCTAAACCCTGAAACCCTAAACTCTGAAACCCTTAACCCTAAACCCTGAAACCCTGAAACCCTAAACCCCGAAACCCTGAAACCCCTAAACCCCCAAAGCCCGAACCGCGTGAGCTTTGGCCCCCGACTGCTGCGGTCCAACTCCACGAGGTCGCTTCCCTCCCCGTTGCCTCTTCAGAGAGCTCAAGGGGGCTCAGGGTTTAGGGGTTTAGGGTTTGGGGTTTGGGGTTTAGGGTTTGGGATTTAGGGTTTGGGGTTTGGGGTTTAGGGTTTAGGGTTTGGTGTTTAGTGTAGGGTTTAGGGTTTGGGGTTTAGGGTTTAGGGTTTAGGGTTTGGGGTTTAGGGTTTAGGGGGCCCCCTTAATTAAGGAATATAAAGCTTCAACCATCACGGTTTAGGGTTTAGGGCCTAGGGTCCCACAGAGAGAGCCCAGATACCTCTAATGAAGGAGTATACCTCAAGCCATAATATTTAGGCCCCCTAGAACTTAAGGTATATTCCTTAATGAAGGGGTATTGGGCTCTCTGGGTTAGGGTTTCAGGGTCTAGCGTTCAAACTTCAAGGCTTTAGGGTTTAGGGTTTGGGGTTGAGGGTTCAAGGCTTCAGGGTTTAGGGCTTCGGGTTTCGGGTTGAGGGCTTAGGTGTTTAAGGTTTAGGGTCTAGAGCTCAAGGGTTTAGGCTTGATTCCAAGACTGCCATCGTCTGCAGCAGCAGCAGCCCTTGAGGCAGCAGCCGTAGCACTACTAAAGATCATGCTTACTACTGTTGATGATATAAACCCTGCATTACCCTTAAGGACCCTAAACATACCCTAGAGCCTCAACCCCAAACCCTAAACCCCACTGCTGATGATATAAACCCTGCATTACCTTGAGGGCGCCTAAACTATAGGAATTAGGGTATAATCCTTATAATGGGTAATGCAGGATTTATCTCATCAACCCTGCATTACCTTAAGCACCCTCAAGTATAGGAATTAGGGTATATTCCTTGTTATGGGTAATGCAGGATTTCTATCATCATCCCTAAACTATAGGAATGAGGGTATATTCCTTATTATGGGTACTGCCGGACTTATATCATCAACCATAGTAATCATCAGAAATAGCGGCAGCAGGAAGAAGACGAAGAAGAAAAGCACCACCACCACCACTACTGCTACTCCTACTCCTGATCCTTCCTGCTGCTCGGCTGCTGCTGTAACTACTACAGTGACTTGACGGCACGCTGTGCTTGCAAATCAGCCCACGAAACCCCAGCCCGCCAGGCCCGAAAAGCAGTCGCCCACGGTCTGTTGTTCCGAAACCCTAAACCCTAAACCCTGAACCCTAAGCCCTAAACCCTAAACCCTAAACCCTAAACTCACATTCAAAACATAAAGGGCTCCCTTGCTCGAACCCTGGCCCAAAGACTAACTTCCCCCGTGAGGGCGCCTGTCTGCCTGCAGCGGAAGGCTGCAAAGCTACCTCAGCTTCCGGCCCCTAAACCCTAAACCCTGAAGCCCTAAACCCTAAACCTAAACCCCTAAACCCTAAACCCCTAAACCCTAAATCCTAAGGCGTTTGCATGAAGCGGGTCTGCGTCTGCGGCGTTGCATCGCGGGATACAGAAAGTGAGCTTACTTGAGGCCTGCAAGCTTTTCGTACTATCCCCTAAACCCTAAACCCCAAACCCAAGCTTGAGTACTATCCACTAACCCCGAAGCCCTAAACCCTATAGATACAAAACCGTAGCTGGCAACCCTGATTCGAAAATCCTCATCCCTACAACCCCGATCCTCCCTATCCCCTAAACCCTGTATCCTAAATCCCAAAACCCCTCAACCCTAAACCCTCAATCCTAAAACCGAAACCCTAAATCCTAAACCCCTAAAGCCTATCCCCTAAACCCAAAGGCATCGAACTTCCTAAGCCCGCATCCTCATGACCTTCCCGGGCTTCCTAAACATGTTTTCCGTCCTGATGCAGCATGGAAAAACCGAGATTGGATCCGAACATTGCTTCTTGTTCGGAGTTGAGGCTGCTGTTCTTCCTTGTCAAACTGAGTGTCGGCAAGCATGTTGCCAGTGATCGTCTCCCACGATGGACGCAGGCGTTCCTGCCGGCCCAAGAGGGACGGGGCAGCTGTGAGCAGGGCACGTGCTGTCCCGGGGTCGTTTTGCCTACGAAGTGAGGCAGCCTCCTCGCCATCTTGATCACCGAACTGTAGAGTGGCCCACTCGAGATCCTCCTAGGGGGCATTGAAGTCCAAGTGCCTCTGGCCTCTAAGGGCCTCCCAGCTCGCGGCCCCCCAATAGACAAAACGGGCCCCCAAGGGCTTAAGCTTTAGGACTTGGGGTTTAGTATTTAGTTGGGGTTTAGGCTTTAGGGTTAGTTAGGGCCGTTTAAGGTTTAAGATTTAGGGCTTGGGGTTTAGTATTTGTTTGGGATTTAGACTTTAGGGTTTAGGGCCGATTTGGGTTTAAGATTTAGGGCTTGGGGTTTAGCATTTAGGGTTTAGGGTTTAGGGTTTCAGATTTGTGTTTTAGGGTTTAGGGTTAGGCTCTAATTTAGGACCCGTTCTTCTCGGATGGTATCATGTGCCGCAACGTACTGGTCCTAGCCGAGGGTATCGAACCCCCCACATCGTACAGTTTAGGACCCAGCCTCACAAGTTTGCTGGAAAGGAAGCTGGGTTAGGGTTTAGGGTTTAGGGTCTCCAAGAGAACTGTATGTGTAAATGTGGGAGAATACAAGACACGGACCTTAAAGTTTTAGCTATGTATTGCCTAACGACTGAAGCCTGCACCCTGAACCCAGAACCATATCCCATACCCTAAACAAGCTAAAACCGCAAACCCTCATCCACCAAACCCTAAACTGAACCCTAAACCCCAAACCGTAAACCCTAAACCCCAAACCCCCAACCCTAAACCCTAAACCCAAAGCCCTAAACCCCAAACCCCCAGGTCGAAGAGCCCCCCGCTCGGGAAGAAGCTGAGTGCTGCACCGTTGGGCCCATCCTGTCCATGAAGGGTTCAGGGGTTTTCGGGTCCGGGGTTTAGGGTTTAGGGTTTAGGAGTGCAGAGATGAGTGTTTAGGGGTTTAGGGTTCGGGGTTTAGGGTTTAGGGTTTAGGAGTGCAGGGATTAGGGTTTATGGGTTTAGGGTTCGGGTCTAGGGGTGCAGGGATTAGGGTTTAGTGTTTCGGGTTTGGGGGTTAGGGCTTCGGATAGGGGTTTCCAAGAGGGTTGAGGAAGGCCTACTACAAGGTTACTACTGGAGGGTTAGTCCATGGCTCAAGTCTGCAAGCTTTCAGGCTTTAAAATTCAAAGTCAGGGTTCAAGGCTTCAGGGTCATTAGGGTTTTATGAGTTATGGTTTGAAGTTTGGGGGTTTTGCGGTTTAGGGGCTTAGGGTCTAGGTGGATAGGGCGTTAGTTTGGGGCTTGCCAGCTTAGAGTTTTAGGATGCTTTTGGCGCTCTACGGCCACAGGTGTGCTTCTGCTGATAAGTGGGACACTCTATGGAGCCGATCAGCAGAAAATCTCCTTGCACCTGCAGAAATGCTGTTACGAGGCGGCCTTACTAATGCCCTACATCTTGGGATCTATAAGGGCTCAAGGGCTCTATAAGGGTTCTATCAGTGCTCTATACGGGCTCTACTTGGAGCTTCATTGGCAGTTAGAGGTGGGGGGGTTATAAGTCCCCTAATATGGGTTGTAATATGGTCACCCTACTTATAAACCCCACTTACAACTACCCATGAACCTCCAGGTAGTGCAGGGTCCTCAGTAGTTAGAATGATGCTCCCTCTGGCGCTCAGCAAGGGCTTTATGTGGCTCTAAAACATAAATAGAGGGACCTCAGTGACTCGAAGGGCTTGGGGGTCTCTTTCACTAACATGCATTTGTCGAACCCTAAGGGCGTACTGCTCCTATACAGGGACTACAAGGGAATGCTACTTCTATTTTTGAAAGGTATGCAGTAGGAGGGTTTAGGGTTTAGGGTTTACGGCTTAGGCCCTACACGCCGAACCAAAGGCGGCCGCCTTCGCCAGCAGCTTCTGGTACATGGGGAAGCCCGCTGAGGGCGAGTCGAAGTAGACCTGGGCACCGAGCTGATGCAGGGCAGGGGCCTACCTGGAGGTTCATGGGCAGTTAGCAGTGGGGTTTATATAAGTTGAGTTGAGTAACTAAAAGTATGTCCCACAACAGGGGATAGATGTAAGCCTGCTTAGAACTACCCATGAACCTACAAGTATCGCCACTTGCAGAGACTCGCAAGCCCTCCAAGAGAAGTCGATTGAACATAAAAAAAAAAAGCTGCCACAATAGCAACAGCGACAACAGCAACAGCAACAACAAACGAAAATACAAAACCTGCAAATGACCCTGGCATTGTAGGAGTACCCTTTGCTGGCTGCGGCAGTGCTGGCAAAGTCGCAGTAGCAAAAGCCGCAGCAGCAGCAGCCGCAGTAAGAGTGGTAGTCGTAGTAGTGGTAGTAGTAGTAGTGGTGGTAGTAGTACTAGTAGTAGTAGCAGCAGCAGCAGCAGTAGCAGTAGTAGTAGCAAAAGCGGCCGCCGCCAGCAACTCTTATAACCCTAAACCCCAAACCCTAAACCCTAAACCCTAAAACCCTAAAACCCTAAAACCCTAAAACCCTAAAACCCTGAACCCTAAACCCCAAACCCTAAAAGGTTCAAAGCTTCCCCAGCTCAGCCTGATGAAGGTTGAGCGTTCCGGCTGCCAAATGCCACGCCCTAAACCCGGAAGCCCTAAACAATCCTAACCAACAAAGGGGGTTTAGGGTTTAGGGTTAAGGGTTTAGCGTTTAGGGTCTAGGGAAACCCTAAACATTCCTAACTAACAAAACCCTCAACGATTACTCTCTAAGAGAGGAGTCCCTAAGCTCGAAAGCCTAATAAACCCTACAGGGGTGTATTAGAGCTTAGGGTTTCTGGGCCATGGTTTCAGGTTGAAGGTTTAGGGGTTTAGGGTTCAGGGTTTTAGGGTTTAGGGTTTAGGGTTTTAGGGTTTAGGCTTTAGGGCTTAGGGAGTAAAGTGCAGGGTGTGTCTAGGCTTCGAGGTTAGAGTTTACGGGGGCGCAGGCTGGTTAGCGCGCGGTAGTGCATAGACATGCCCGCCCCAAGGCTACCCAAAACCTACTCACGGCCAACGAAGCCAGCCAGCCGAACTCAAACCGGGTTTGGGGTTTAGGCCAAAACTCGTCGAGTTCCGAGAAAAAGCCAAATTTCAGGGTTCTCGCTGGGGGCAGCAGATGCCTAGAAGTACCATTGGTCATTTAGATTTCGCGCTGGGGGCCGAGGAGACTTCTCTTTAGCTAGCTGAAAGCAGGTGGAGCAAGCAGGAATCCGAGCTACCTTTGAGCTCAAACAGGTTTCGCGTTAAAGGGCGATTTTCGGCCGAAAAACGCCCTTCTGATTTGGACGTTTTGGCTACTGTCTCTTCTTCGTTCCAGGCGGCCCACCGGTTCAAATCTGGCGGATCGAGCAATTTAGGGTTTAGGGGTTCAGGTTCAGGGTTTAGGGTTTAGGGTTCAGGGTTTCGGGTTTAGGGTTTAGGGCTTAGGGGGTTTAGGTTGTGTGCCGTGGGACAGCTTTGGCCGAATGGCCTTCTCAACGTCTTCATTTCGCTCCCGGGTGCTTCGAAAAAACAGAAGCTGAAAGCCGGCTGGTGGAACAGAAGTCCCTAACCCTAAACCCTAAACCCTAAACCCTAAACCCTAAACCCTAAACCCTAAACCCTCGATCGGAAGTTTCGAATCGCGCTGCGGGGCATCTGCATCACATCTTTTGGCTCCGGCTTTTTCGTCCGGGGCCAGGGCTAGAACCAAGGTAGGGCCGTTTCAGTGTGCCTGGGCGTAGCCCGATTTTGGGAGTCCTTCCTGTGAGGAGAGTTTCAACATGGGTTCGGCAGTATTAATGCCATAGGATCCCTTATACTGTACCTTAAGGGCACGAGGACAATCATGTTCCAACTTGCTGGCTTCTACTATAAGCCATATTCCTTCATGTAGGGGTATTGGGCTCTTAAGCCCTACAACCCTAAACCCCAAAACC